TGAGTAGTAAACAAAGTCATGTATCTTAAGTTCTTTTTTTAGTGTTAATCGAATTCTATCGATCAGTTTTGAATACGTCTCAGTTCAACAGGAAGTCAAGGGTAATGTCCATAACAATGAATCCGGATGACATGTGACTGAATCCTCCAGTGAGCGTCAGGCTCATTACGATGAAAGGTAAAGCTTGCTGACGAGTGCCAAATAGTACAGAGCTCAGGTTAGACAGGGTTTCCTGTTGACTATCATACGTATCACCTATCACGAAATCTCCGTCAATCTCTTATAGTAGTGACTGATATTGAGAGATAATTACCAAGTTCTCGCGAGAAGATGTGACCAGTGAAGTTCAACTATGTCCAATTAGAAGCAGTTACCCACCAAATAAATTGGAAAATGGTTTTATGAGTTGATAGAAGTTAAACATAACGACCATTGAATATTGATTCAGCAGCTTAGAGGTTAAATATTCTCGCTTGAAACCAAAGGTTCTATGTTAGATTCTTGGCAAGACCGCAGATGCACTCCACTGAGGAGTCTTAGACATGAACAAAACAGATTTCCAGTGTTTCCTGGTTATTTAAGTAAGATGATATTCAATTTTATTTCAACAACAAACCAATCAAAACAACCAAATGGCATGAATTACGTAAACTGTACTTTCATATTTACATATGAAACGAATAGAAAAGGTATTGTTTTTGTTTTTCATCAACAACATATTGTCTGTTTACTAAAAATTAGTAGATTCATTTGCCAAGTTCGATGGAAATGATGAACTGTTTTGGAAATAATTTCAATGAAACTAAATTATAAGGATAAACTAGTCAGATTTAAAATATGCCCCTAAATGCCCTGGTACAGCCGAGGGTGAGGAGAGTCATCTCTCTCTCGAAATGCTCTCACATGGCCACGCGTATACAACCACTGTCAGGGAAGTCCTATTCACTGACTTCTTGCGAAGGGGTGTTGTTTACGAAATTGAGAGGACGAAAAGTGAATGTCCGGTGCATTAAACTGGTTGGTGGATATGGAGGATACATCTAGGACAGTTAGAAAACCCTGATTTCAAACCAATTGAACATAAGGGTTCCAGGATCTTAAGGTAACGAATGATGTATGGACGTATTGTTGGTCACCAGCTACCATGGTATTGAATACCCTAACGTTGCTCCACTTCCTTATAGATCAGACTTCTAGGTCGAAGGCTACGAGTGTAATCCTTAAAAAAAACCACCTTCTTCAATCTGGGGCACCCGGACAGTATCCTAGCCCATACACAAATCAAGTGATTTATGTGGCGCATATATATTCGGAGCCCCTTTGTACCAATACTTATGTGTTCAGATAAATAAATAAATATGAATATTGAGTTATACTCTATCAGATGGAGTTGGTTGGCTTCCCGTCTCCGCTCCGTTTTGTTTCACTATCTTGCTTCTTATCTTAATATGCTTTTGAATAACCAAGTCCCTGAAATAAATTTATCTAACCCATATTGGGCTTCTTATTACCGTTTTCTCACAAACAGTGTTAGCCTAGGTGTATTTTCCAAAGTAAAATTGGAGATTTAAATTCAAGGCATATTCATTCATTCATTCATTCAAATCGTAGTCAGATCAATAGGCTACTAAAAGGGTAGTATTCAGTTCATAAATGAGCATTAAGTTAAAATTTAGGTTGGGTTTAATATGATAGAGTTAAGTTAGGTAATCATACAATATTATGGACGAACCAATCATGTTTAGGATACCAGGTTTTGGATTTTGACACGTAGTTTATTCATCCATATAGTTAAATAGAATTTCGGCAATACAGCTGATGTCAGTTCGTGATGAAAATCTTAATTCTAATTCATAACCCTACCATACAACTGTAAATCATTAATTCCTCACACCAATTTATAAACCTTTTTTAACCTTAGTGAGTAGGTCACCTAAGCATCGTTCATACATCGTCCATCAATTACAGTTTCGAATCTCGCGAGGCTAGGTCATGGATGCGCACTGCTGAGGAGTCCCACGATAGAACGAAATGGCCGTTCAGTGCTTCCATGTTTTCCATGGTGGTCTGGCTTCAACTGACTTATGCTTTCAACTATGAAAATTACAGTTTCATCGAATTCTCTTATTTTATATCATAATTAAACCATGTTTCCTGGTTGACTAAAAAAACTGGCTGAAGATTTAAATGGTCGTTTGGCGCGTATATTTACTGTTTAACCCCCTTCGATGTTCCACCATTACAGCAATCTTTGTATAAAAAGAAAATTTTGGTCTACAATTTCGATTGTTAAAATATTATGTTTTGTGCATGTTCACTAAAGCAGAATAATAATGATTGTTAAATGCAAAGACGGATGGTGGCTAGTAGTGGAATTCAGGACGCACGTTTCGTCCTAGTTGAGACATTTTTTGCTGGATGTACCTATATCCGAGTTGATGTTCACTCCGAGACTCGAACCTAGCGCTGTTCACTTCAAAGATCATTGCGTTATCCACTTACCTAAATATCAATGGGAAAATCCAAACAAACAATAAAAAGTGAATTAAGCTTCACCACATTGTATAAACGAGTGCTTATTAGGGCTCTGTAGACAAGTGGATAGCGCGGTGGCTTTTGAAGCGGACGGTACTAGGTTCGAGTCCTGGGGTGAACATCAACTCTGGAATGAAGGTACACTCAGTTAATGAGTTCCAAATAAGACGAAATGAACGTTCTGAATTCCATTGCTAGCTACCATCCATCCTTGCCTGTAATACTTGTGACTTAGGGCAATATAGAGACAATCCACACAGGATGCACATATACCAATAAGAGACTGATCAATTGCACTACTAAACATCAGTAGGATGATACAAACAACCAACACAAAATGAATAATAATATTGTTGTTATTATATGTAAATAAATCTTAAGTTTACAAGTGTTTCGAAAGACGGTTAAGTGACCTTGAGAGCATTCACCTGCGTGCTAGGGTCAGGGGGTGACTAGTCAGTATAAGGAGTTAGGATTAAGACTTAGAGTTGGACGTTGGGGTTAGAAATTAGGATGAAGGTTTTTAACCAAGAACTAATATCATCTAAATGCCGAAATGTTAATTAGGGGTGAGGATAAACACCACTATTGTTAGTAATTTTGACTTAGCACATGGCAACCGATCAAAATAAAGATGGAATCATTATTTACTCTATTACAGTCCATGATGGTAGGCATGTTTCGTGAGATTCGAACCCGGGATCGTGGATACGCACTGCCACTGAGGAGTCTCATAATAGAATGAAACGATCGTCCAGTGCTTCCAGATTTCCCATGGTGATCTAGCTTCAATTGACTAATTTTCTCAACTATATACAAAATTTACTAAAATCTCCACCAAACCCCTTTCTGATTAGATTCTTTTTGTCAATTTACCGGAAACAGTAAATTAACTCAACGTACTAAAGAATGTAAAAGAATTGTGCAAAGAACTTGTAATCACATTTATATGTTGGGTAACAGTCAGTCATCTACAACGTAAGACCAGGCACACATTTGCATCGGTCCAAGTTGCCATACCTCATCAGCACAACAAGATGAATACCAAATTCATAGAACTAGTTAATTTAGTGGTGGTAGTATATATGAGAGAAAGGTTGTATATAAGGATATAGTATAGGAAGGAAGACAGATATGAAGCAATTTTAATCTCAGTATTTAAGAGAAGATAAAAAGTGTATACACCTACGCCATTGTGATCGATTCTGAGCCATGTCACACACAGTCTCCAACCATTGGTTACGATAGTCACACGGACCCCAACCAAGTAGTCTGCATCTACCAACATGGCTCAGACTAGAAGTTAGTGACTTCAAGCACTGATGCCATGTTTTGGCTTGGCCACCCCTAACTCTTTTCCAACCATTCCCTACACTAGTCAGCATAGCTCGTCGTGGTAATCGGTATTCAGGCATACGTAACACGTGGCCCAACCATCTCAGTCGATGAAGATTCATCACCCCATCAACTGATTTACCATCATCAATCCCTAATACCCTTTGTCTGACCTCAATATTACTTACCCAGTGATCCCAGCAGATGCGAGCAATATTTCTAAGACATTTTGGGTAACAACCGACAGAAAGATTAATATACATGACCATGCTTTGATTCGGTTATTTTATTACCAAACTACTTATCTTGCTATCATAAAATTTATAAATTATTTTTCATCCCCACATTTATCCCATCCCATAGACTAAAAAAAATTAGTATCCATCACATGAAGTAATTGTGTAGGTTTATTTATGTAGGCAAGAGATGGATATAAATAGGCAGGGAAGAAGAGTTAGTCAAAAATAACTTGGCAACAAGCAAGCCATATATATATATATATATATATATATATATATATATATTCAATACAAATGTCAAGACAGTTCTTCTGTATGGGGCAGAGACGTGGAGAACTACGAAAGCCATTATCCAGAAGATACAAGTGTTTATTAACAGCTGTCTACGCAAGATACTTCGGATCCGATGGCCAGACACTATCAGCAACAAGTTACTGTGGGAGAGAACAAACCAGATTCCAGCGGAGGAAGAAATCAGGAAGAAGCGCTGGAAGTGGATTGGGCACACTTTGAGGAAATCACCCAATTGTGTCACAAGACAAGCCCTCACATGGAATCCTGAAGGTCGAAGGAGAAGAGGAAGACCAAAGAACACATTACGCCGAGAAATAGAGACAGACATGAGAAGAATGAACAAGAACTGGAAAGAACTAGAAAAGAAGGCCCAGGACAGAGTGGGTTGGAGAAAGCTGGTCGGCGGCCTATGCTCCATTGGGAGTAACAGGCGTAAGTAAGTAAGTAAGTAAGTAATATATATATATATATATATATATATATATATATATATATAGAGAGAGAGAGAGAGAGAGGGGGGGAAGGGAGAGAGAGAGAAAAACAATCAAGGAATTTTTTACAAAAATATATATAAAACATCTTCCTCGAACTACTTACTAGGTACATAATGGGATGTATGATGTCCATCTATAGTGAAATTGAATTGCGATTTATTTCGATCCATTGTAATCACATGCATACGACCATCATTAAATATTTGTGATGGGTTACTGAGAGTGAATTCTACCCCATTGATATCGGTGTATAGTTTTCCATTACGCTATGAGAATAATCAAAGAAGAAGCGATAAAGTGATGTATAGAATTACAAAATTAACAATGGGTAAGGGGTACTATAAGATTCATAGAAATCATGGATCAATCAGTGCTAGACTATCATTGAAAACCTGGAAGCACTGGATGACGGTGTTGTCCTAATATCGAAGTCCTCAGTGCCAGTAAGCTTCTTCGATCCCGCACGCGAGAATCAAATCCAGGACTTTTGTTATCGCACACGAAGACAATGGTGTACGGTCGCACATTATCGTGGATTGGTTGAAGATAGATATTAATACCGTTGGATGCCGGATTAGTGGTCTAGATTTTAAGTGTTCTTATGCGAGACTGAAGGTCCTGAGTGCAAATCCCGCGTGTGGGATCGTCTATTCGCACTATTGAAGAGTTCGATACTAAGATGAAACGGTCGTCCAGTGCTTCCAGATTTTCAACGGTGGTTTAACATTGAACCATTGATGATATCGTTCTAAACTCAACAATCTCCACAACCCTATACTGAAAATAGTTAAATAATGATATATCTGAAGTAATAAGACAAATGTCCTATAGACTATTAGTATACGATTTACCATTCTTGAGTTATCCCTAGTCCATTAATTACTGTTCCCCCTACTCACAGCCACATTTGGCCGGATCTTGCACAAATGTTATTTTCTATTTTATTATCTGTTTGATTGGTATATAAACCCAGTATGTTTGAGAATAATGATTCATATTGCAGAGGCTGTTATTGGTGTTCTGGACAGGTAGAAAGTAGGACTGACAAGTACACAAAACTGCTAATACGGCTTTTGGGTATCATTGCTCTGATAGATAATTCACTCCTCTCTCATTGGCGGGAATCAGCACGTTCATACATAAACAGGGCACACACTCATTCAATCGATATAACAATATCATAGCAGGATAGTATTAAAGTATAAATAGGTGATTAATGGAAAACAGAAAATGTTACATCATCTAGTTCCCAACACAATGAATTAATCACTAAGACTTATCCTATCATTGACTATCATCTTGTAACCAACAGAACACATACATACAGATGGTATCTCATACTGGACTATTTCTTCATTCATTCAGATTTAAATGTGTATCATCTTCACATGCACACACACATACACACATAAAAGTACATTCAATATATAAAGTACTTTTTATAGCCTTGAACACAGATATAACTGAATATCTCTCTATCAATAAAAAAGGGGTAACTTTAAATCTCATTTTTGTAATAAATCTGTCAAATTAAAAAAAGGATGTTTGGACAATAAAAAAAAAACGGAAAAAAGTAAAGATTTCAGGAAAGATCGATTTACCTTGTTTGTATTATTTTGTTTCATTCAAGTTAAATTGGTTAGATATCAGATGGTTACAAATGATCGATTTGAAACATGTCAAGTTTCACCCTAGACTTAACTTATTTTATAATCTACATCACATAGTAACTATTAGTTAGATAACCGTTGAAAAGCATGAAGTATTAGATTTATGTTTCAACTTTATTGTGAGTCTATCGGTTAAGGGCTCTGGCTCGAGACTGGTAGGTCCTAAGTTCGAATCTCGCGATTGCAGGACCGTGGATGCGCACTGTCACTGAGGAGTCCCATAATAGGACGAAATGGCCGTCCAGTGCTTCCAGGTTTTCCATGGTGGTCTAGCTTCAATTGACTCATGATTTCAACTTTGAAAAATACTGAAATCTCCACAAATCTCCTTCTGTTTATTGTGTGACTTCTAAACACTAGGTATTCATGAATTCGTTGAAGATCAAGATCATAACCTTCAAGTCTCATAGTAAGTGTTTAACATTTAGACTATTGAATAGGCATTCAGTGATTTATATGTTCAACTTCAATCGACTCGTGATAATGAGCAAACAATTTGTAATGTCTTCAATGTGGAGCTGCGCCTCACATCTGATATGTCCAGTATTTCACGCATTCGATGATAGTTTAAGGTTGATCCGTGATTTAAACAATGCAGATTAACAATCTCTACAAGCTATCTAATGCTAGCCACCATCCATCTTCGCTTATTCCGTGACTATATATATATTCATAATCCTTTTATTATAAGCTTTCATTTGGCCAATAGATTACTATAATACGATTTATCATTCCTAAGTTATTCTCAATTTATTAGTTACAGTCTCTAACACAGACACTTTTGATTTGATCTTGTATAATTATTAATTGTCATTTTATAACATGATATGGTCTGGTCTGCTTGTATTTGAACCATGCATATCTCAAATACATAATTCATACAGTGGAGGCTGATATTTGTCTTCTGGATTCAAACGGACACGTTTCAGCAAAAAGAATCAGAAAGGACTCAGAGTTGACTCTAAGCTTCTGGTACTAAGTAATGCATCATTGGTTTGGCACAGTGCCAAGTTCATCATATGATCAATCAACAGGCTATAAGATATCACCATCATCCTATCACTCTTAAGTTCCCTATGAATTCAAACAATTCGATATTTTAACAGCAGATTTTTCTTATTCAATCGACCAGAAACAAAAAAAAGAAAGAAAAAAACTAAGCGTTAACTTTCAATTAATTTACAGTAACCTTTTCAATGTACAAAAATCTTGGGATCGCTATATCGATTAGTTATAATGACATAATGACATTAGTAATTATAAAATTTTCATTTTAATAAAAGAAAATTTGTTAATTAATCATAATTTTTTTGGTTTCTATGGTAACAATATACTATTACTATTAATGATCATTATGACATGGTTCATATAAAGTTTTACTGTTTTAAAGAAAAAGGAAAAAATATTCAATTTTTTTGTTTGGTCTGGTAAAAATTATAACAAAAGACTGATCAATAGTAGTCCTAGACAATAATGGGAAGATGAAAGCAAACAGAATCAAGTGAAGTTAAACTTCATCACATTACATGAGTAAGTGGCGATGAGGACTCAGTAGCTAAATGGGTAATGCGATGGCGTTTAAAGTAAAGGGTACTGAGTTCGAGTCCCAAAGTGAACATGGACTCTGGGATGCAGGTAAATTTAGCTAACGAGTCCCAAATAAGATGAAATGCGTGTCCTGAATTCCACTGTTAACCACCAACCATCTTTGTCTATAGTCAATATATCGGTTTTGGGTTATATTGTTAGTATTATGATCAATTTTTTCATAGAATAGGTTGATTGTTATTAGCTATCAATGAAACGTAGGACTGATATCTATTACTGTTTATGACTTGTCAGCTGGATGTATCTTCATATTGACATTGACTTTCGCATTAAATAACACATTGGCGTTTAGAGCGGAAGGTATTAGGTTCGTATCCCTGTGTGAACATCAACACTCGGATATAGGCGCACCCAGATGACAAGTCTCTGCCAGGACAAAACACATATCTTGGATTCCGCTGCTATTTAGAACTCGTTACATAGATGCATCTGAATGGAAGTTGGAAATTTCGGGTTATATGGTTTAGAATCACTCTTAATGGGACAGATACATACAGTCTTTGTCTTGATTTAGATCTTGATTATAATGGTTATCTTTTACTTTTTGTCCCAAAAATTGAAGTTTTTTTAGAAACGTATTATTTGTGATCAGTGTTTTCTACTACCTTTCATACTGTTGATACTTGTACTACTCTGATATCTCTCTATGTTTATTTGGTCAGGTGAACATGTGTCAGATTTATTGTTTCCTATGACTGACTGAATAACAATGATAATATTCATCTTAGAACTCAAATCAAGTATCTTTTGGTTCGAACGCTAAAGGATTATCCTATCTGAACATTAGTAATGTGATCCAGGTACATTCAACAAACGAGTTTCATATAGAACGAAACGCACGTAGTGATTGCTACTGCTAAGACTAATCCATAAATTCTATAAACTTGAATGTTGTTGTTTTGTAATAGAGACTAATGAAAGCAAGTATCATATTGATTGCATAAACTACGTTCGTTCGAATTTATACACTAAATGATCATTCAATGGTATGTAACACCCAAATGATTATCTCCTACTGATCAATTTGTAAAGTGACTACTTGTTTTCGTAACTCTATATTGTGACGACTGGATATTCTGATCGATCCACTTTTCGTGCTAGAAGGTATGTCTATCATGTAAAGAGAAATGATACTTCCTGTCAAATTGGAATTGATGTCACTTTATGACTTTATTAGCGGGGTTTTCCAGTTTAATGAACTTATTGTAATGTAGGCTTACTAAGTGTACAATGTTTTGTAAAATATAATCTTTCTTTCATGTTATAATGTTTGACTATCTTAACCAATGGTTGGAGACTCTAGGTGACATGGCTAAGAATTGATCACAATGGCTTAGGTGTATACACTTTTTATCTTCTCTTAAATCTTGAGATTAAAAACTGCTTCATATCTGTCTTCCCTCCTGTACTATAACCTTACATACAACCTTTGTTTTATGTATTCTCACCATGAAATTAACTACTTCTGTGAATTTGGTGTTCATGTTGTCGTGCTAATGAGGTATGACAACTTGGACCGCTACATATGTGTGCCTGGTCCTACCTTGTAGCTGACTGACTGACTGACTGTCCATCAAAGGCCTAAAATACTTGGTTACTTTCGTGATGGATTTATTGCCATTTTAATCAGTACTCTATAGGTTTGTTTGTGAAGTTCAACTAGATTAGTTGTAAGTTTATCATCACCAGATGCTGCTTGGAAAGATATACGAACAGCTGTGGAAACAGCAGTAACATTTATTCGTTATTTAAACCATAAGGCTCCAAAAAACCAGTGGATTTCTTCTAAGTCTATTTCACTAATGGATTCGCGTAAACTCATCCCATCAGGCTCTGAACACGACGAAGAGCGTAAACAAATTAGATCTAGGTTGACCAAAATTCTAAAGAACGATCGTGAGCAGTGGTGGGCAACGAAAGCAAAAGAGATGGAAAAGGTAGCGGCTGTAGGCAACACCATGCAACTATTCAGACTAATAAAAGAAACCGGAATTAAGAAGTCAAGTGTAAGTGAGACAATCTCGGAAAAAGACGGAACCCTTATTTGCTCTCAACCTAAACGTTTAGAACGATGGGCGGAACACTTTAAGGAGCAGTTTAGCTGGCCTTCAGCTACTGCACAACTACCCACTATTCCCAGAAAACCTGAATGGAACATTGAAGTAGGCCTCCCGACCCTACTTGAAGTTCAAATGGCTATAAGTAATCTGAAACAAGGAAGAACAGCTGGTCCAGATGGATTGGCTCCAGAGGTCTTTAAATATGGTGGTCCAATTTAAGCTATTAGGTTGACTAATATTCTGGCTAAAATATGGGAAACGGATGTAATCCCATCTGACTGGTCACAATCTCTGATTGTCCCAATATATAAGAAGGGGCCAAAATCATCCTGTGATAACCATAGAGGGATTAGTCTGACTAACATAGCATCTAAAATACTAGCCTCAATAATTATCGGGCGCCTAACTAAGACTCGTGAACTGCAAACACGAGAAAATCAGGCTGGTTTCAGACCTGATCGTGGCTGTATCGACCACATATTCACCATTCGTCAAGTTTTAGAGAACAGACATGCTTATCGGCGTCCGACAATGATAGTTTTTCTTGACTTGAAAGCAGCATTTGAATCTGTAGATCGAGAGGTTCTGTGGCAGTGTCTGTCATTAAAAGATGTACCTGAGAAGTAAATAAACCTTGTGAAGGCTCTTTACTCGAACATTACCAGTCGAATGAGAGCTTATGGCGAACTGTCATATGATTTTACTACCTCAAGTGGTGTCCGTCAAGGCTGTCCACTATCCCCATTTTTGTCTAACTTCATTATAGACCTGTTGCTGGAAATAACACTCTCGTCGACTGAATTTTCAGGAATTGATCTTCTACCAGGAGGTTCACTTATCGACTTAGAATACGCAGATGACATAGTCCTGTTTGTTGAAGACGCTGGCAAAATGCAGAGTCTTCTGTTAGAACTCAGTAATAATGTCAGGATGTTTGGGATGCGTTTCTCCCTATCCAAATGTAAATTGTTACTCCAGGACTGGCCTGCGTCAACACCCGAACTAAGGATAGGGAGTGAAGTAGTCGAACGCGTGGACAACTTCACTTATCTTGGAAGTCTGATCAGCCTTAATGGGTTGGTGTGTGACGAAATCTCAGCACGGATTCAAAAAGCTTGTTTGGCTTTTGCCAACTTACGTCATCTATGGCGAAGACGAGATATCCGTCTATCAATTAAAGGACGAGTATACTGCGCATCAGTTCGTTCTGTTCTACTTTACGGCTGCGAAACATGGCCATTAAGAGTAGAACATACTCGTAGGTTACTAGTAATTGACTACAGATGCCTTAGAAATATTGCTCGCGTCTGCTGGGATAACCGGGTAAATAAAAGTGAGGTTAGACACAGGGTATTAGGGATTGATGATGGTAAATCAGTTGATAAGGTCATGAATCTTCATTGACTGAGATGGTTGGGCCACGTGTTACGTATGCATGAATACCGATTACTACGACGAGCTATGCTGACTAGTGTAGGGAATGGTTGGAAAAGAGTTAGGGGCGGCCAAACCAAAACATGGCATCAGTGTTTGAAGTCACTAACTTCTAGTCTGAGTCATGTTGGCAGATGCAAACTATCTGGTTGGGGTCCGTGTGAATATCGTAACCAATGGTTGGAGACTGTGTGTGACATGGCTCAGAATCGATTACAATGGCGTAGGTGTATACACTCTTTATCTTTCCTTAAACCTTGAGATTAAAATTGCTTCATATCTGTCTTTCTTCCTATACTATATCCTTATATACAACCTTTCTCTCATATATACTACCACTACTAAATTAACTACTTCTATGAATTTGGTGTTTATTTTGTTGTGCTAACGAGGTATGGCAATTTGGACCGATGCATAAATGTGCCTGGTCCTACGTTGTTGCTGACTGACTGACTGACTTATCATCACCATGAATTTGAGTGATCACTATCTGATATAACGAATTGATTCAAGTTTGAAATACGATCCACTTAAATCTACATTAAATAGTCTGAAAACGTTGTTCCTTTCTGAGAACACGAAAATTCTGAGGACATGACTATAATTTATAAATGAACCAATCAGATTAGAGATAGCTGATCTTGAATTTTGGCGTGAAATTCATTCACTTATTTGGTTAAATATCCCTTTGAAATTATAACTGATGTAAGTTCATGATGAAAACATTAAGTCTAATTATCAGAGGGGGGGGGTTTGGTTGAGATTTTAGTAATTTTTAATATAATTGAGATCATGAGTCAATTTAAGCTAGACCACCATCGAAAACCTGGAAGAACTGGACGGCCGTTTCATCCTATTGTGGGACTCCTCAGTGGCAGTGTGCTTCCACGATCGCGCCTCGAAGGGACCGAACCCAGGACCTACCAGTTTCTCGCCAGAACACTTAACCGATAGACCACTGAGCCGACATCTCACAGTGTTTTAGACAGGATTGTTGATGCGCACTTTCACTGAGGAGTCTCACAATAGGACGAAACGATCATCCAGTGCTTCCAGCTTTTCCATAGTTGTCTAGCTTCAATTAACTCATGATCTCAACTATATTAAATCTAATTCTTAAGCCTTATGTTCAACTGTAAATCTTAATGCAAATTACTCACACTAATATGTAACTCTCATTTAAACCCTATTAAGTAGGTGGACATTCCCAGGTCATTTTAACGTTGCTCAGAGGTCGTCTCACGGGTTCTAGTTGATCATAAAGCTGGTGCCAAAATTGATTATGTAACAGTTTTTTTATACGTTCAATAAAAAATGCAGATCCATCAATCAGGTCGGTACTACTAATAATAACAATATTGATCTGTTTTTAACCCAGTATGTAAACCATATTGAACTAATCAAATTAATTTCATAAATTGACATAAACACATTACAGGTAACTTCTGACAACTATTAATGGACTAATATTATATATAAATATATATCCCTACTGTATAACTGGTTAGCAACTAGATTATGTATATCTATATTTCTCTTATGATAAACTCCATTTTGACATATAGATTATTAGTATAGGATTTACCGTTTTTAAGTTATGTTCAGTTAATGGATTATCGTCTCCCACGTTCACAGTCACTTTTTGACTTAGTTCATATACCAGCCAAATAGACTGCATCACACCATAAAATAGGAAATAAGGCGAGACTATAATTTCTGGATGAATTAATCAGGTATAAGATAAACAGATCTCGAATTTCGGCGCGAAATTCATTCATCCATTTAATTAAATACAGTTTTGGGGTGACAATCTTTAAGAGACGTTAAAGTGACCTTGAAAATGTCCATCTAATAACTAGGACCAAATGACGGTTATAAACCAGTGTGAACAATTAGAATTATAACTTACAGTTATGAATTGATATCAGCTATAATTCCAAAACTGGCAAGACTATGATTTATGAGCAAGCCAATCAGGTATAAAATAACAGGTCTGGGATTTGGACGCGAAATTCACTCATCCATTTGGATAAATATAGTTTTGGCATTATAGTTGATGTCAGTTTGTAATGAAAACCTTCAGTTTAATTTCTAACCTTAACTATCAACTTTAAATCATAATTCTAATTCTTGTACACTGGTTTATCACCCTCATTCGGTCCAATTTATTTGATGGAAACTTTCAAGGCCAGTCTAGCATCTCTCAAAGGTGATCCATAAATTAGTCTTACCCCAAAACTGTATTTTATCGAACGGATGAATGAATCCAGCTCCAAAATTCGAGATCTGTTTATCCAGTACCTGATTGGTTCATCCATAAATTATAGCCTCACCTTACTTCCTATTTTGTAGTGTGATGCGGTCTGTTTGATTGGTATATGAACCAAGTATGTTTGAAATAAATGATTCGCATAGTGAGAGCTGTTATTAATGTTCTGGACTCAACTGGAAAGGCTAGGAAAACAAAAGACCAGTAAGGATGTTAGGTTGCTCATACCAGTCAATACGTCAATACGAAAGTTCTTATACAATACGTCATTAGTTTGGCACAGTGCCAAGATTGTAAAAGTGGTATTCCGATTGATGAATAAGTTATGTGATAATTAGCCCAGCTTAAAGTCAATGTTAAATTGAAATGACTTTTTGTAAATAAACAAAAAAATATATTAATTATAGAAGGGGTTTTGTGGAGATCTAGTATTTATTATAGTTGAAAGCGTGAGTCAATTGAAGCTAGACCACCATGGAATACCTGGAAACACTGGACGGCCGTTTCGTCCTATTATGGGACTCCTCAGCAGTGCGCATCCACGAACCTGCTCTCGCGAGCGAGATTCGAACCCAGGACCTACCAGTCTCGAGCCGAAGCCCTTAACCTATATATATATATATTTCAGTAATATATTACTTACCAAATAAACTTCATAATATGAACCATCGGTTTGTACAACACGTACAATTGGACCATCATTATACCATGTTTGAAAAGCAACTCTTAATTGATCACGATTTGTTCGATTTAATGGTTGAATTTGATAAATTACATAAGCTCCATTATCTGGTAACTGTGGCATAAATCCACGAGATTCTAAAAAAAGATTTGAATTTTTGTTGTGGTTGAGAAATAGAAGTGAAGAAAAGTGTCATGAATCAATACTGAAATCAGGTTGAATGATCAACTATGTCAGTCAGTTAGTTAGTCAGTAGTGTGTAACGTAGAACCTGATATATCAATACTAATTCAAGTTACTACACTACAATAGCACAGTAAGATAATATTGTTTAGACGAGTCCCATCGACCAGTCCTATAGAGGTAGGCAGTAGTTGGGCATACGTAACACATGTCCCAAAATTTAAAATCATATCGATTAATATGCCATCCTTACCTAGTGTCTTATGACCAACTATGACACTTTGAAGTCCCAAAACACATCAATGATATTGGAAGATAATTTCCAGATATCGTGAATTGCTTGGACTCAGAAATGTAAATCATTGAATTCCAACTAAGCTGACTTAAGGTAAAAGTCTCGACGCAAGACCTAAGGGTTTTAGGTTCGATCCTCTGTAGGGTCATGAATATTCACTGTTGAAAATTTCCATTCTGGACAAATCAGCTGTCTACTACTTTCTAGATTTCGGTGATTCTCTAATCAACCTGTAACAATAAACTTCAAATATTCATTTGGTTAAAACATTTATGATCAATAATTGGTGTTAGTATATTTGTTACAGCTACGGAACATGACGGCTAAGGAAAATTGATGTGCATAGTGTTATATCTAGAGCTTTGATTCTTACTATGCCGCGTACTACTAGACTACTTGAACGATCGAACCCGCAGCGTCGCAAGAGAGAAGAGAGAAGACTAGTAAATAGGAATTTTATTCCTCAGAACAGTGTCAAAATAAAGCACAGAAATATCATGTATTTATAGTTTTTGACTGAGAGTAAATCATCATTTCGAACAACCAATAAGCATATAGGGGGTCATTCTTATCCATCCAATGGGAAAGTTACACGTCGACATTCTAGAATATTCCCCTAGTAGTGATTGGATGGAATGTCTTCGGCTCTTTCTGGCCTCCTTGAAGTCTTCCTAGAGTTTACCAACGAGCCATCCTTACACATAGTTTGGTGATATCTAAACATGACTACTTCGACTTATGAAAATGTCTACTTCAAAGTTGTCCATTAAATGACTGTAGGTCAATATTATGTTTGATTGTATGTTATCTCATTAGTTAGAACAAGCTATTTTCTTTTAAATGTCATCAGTCCAGTTGTATAGTCCAGTCTCATTCAGAGTTAGTAGAGTTAATCCCTCTGAACTAGGTTGCTTTTTATTCGTGAAGATCTCATTGTCCTTCTGGACAACACCATCAGCACAAACTTCAGATAGAAATAAACTGTGGGAAATAACAGCTTGTTCTGGTGACTTTAAGTTTGATTGGTTGTTATTAACCCTTTCTCTATTATTCTCCGCATATTGGTTTTGATAGAAAGAAGGTAAATAATAACCAATCAAAGTTAAGGTGAAACACCTCTCAGAGCTCACTTCTATCTGACGTTTTTACTGATGATGTTGTACAGAAATACAATCAAAGCTTCGAAAATAGGTTACTCACGTCAGAGGGCGTAGCGTCATGAAATCTTCTATCTCTAGTTACAAATCTTCTTCACAGTTTCAAACGAGGTTAGAAACCAAATGTCTTATATGTCCAAGTTTGACATTCTCTGATCAACGGTTCCGGGTTGTGTTGAAAGTCATCAGTAACTTATGTAAATAATATCTCTTACACATTTATAGACTGACTTCCTAGGATAACTAGTTGGTGAAGCGTTAAGTACGTAAAAACTGACGGAATCGCATAGTAAAGGATGGAAACTCACTAATTTTGATACGTCAGAACGAAGATTAAAGGAACGGTATTGTTATTATTACTTACTTACTTACTTACGCCTGTTTCACCTCATCGAGGAGCATAGACCGCTCACCAGCATTCTCCATCCAACTCTGTCCTGAGCCTTCCTTGTAATTCTTATTATATAGTTATTCAGTAACTAGGTCACCATATCTATGTACTCCAATTTTCTCAATCTTTCAGTTTACTTATTAACTACTTATACATGATTTTCTATTCTTAAATTGTTGCCCATCTACTAATTAGTCTCATCTATTCACAGACACTTTTGTCTTGATCATGTTTAATTTTGATTTCCCGTTTAATGTTGTGGTGCGGTCCGGTATTTCTGTATTCAAATCAAATCTTTTTGAAATATAAGCATACAGTAGAAGATCGTTACTGACTTTTGGACTCAGGGAAGGATATAGAGAGAAGCTTACGGATTAAGGAGTATTAGGAACTGAACTGTGTTGGCTCAAGCCCACAAGTGCTGAATGGATGTGTAATAGGTCAAGTCAGAAACATCAAAGTATTGAGTAAATAACAGACCAAATTAGAATCAGGATTCTGATTGAAGACTTATCACTTGATATTGGGCCGTGGTCACAAGGCATAAAAACGTTTCCCGCCTACACTAACACAAAGTGGTGGAATTCATGCAGTAATCAAAAAGTCATGCATACTTCTATAACCGTTGTTGGAAAAGAAAGATGGAAAAACAACACTCACGTCTTTCACATCTTGCTCCATTATATGCTGTATATCGACAATCACATTTCCGTTGATAATTTTCAGCATAACATCGACCACCATTTGAACAATAATCAGATATACATTCAGGTTGTGGTCTTGGTGGATGTATTTGAAAACCTGGTGTTGGTACAATTGTCACTGTACCAGTTGATGTAACTATACGTGCATTTAAATCATCAATTGGATATCTTCCATTCCAATGCAAACCTTAAGTTCATAAATTCAAAAAAAAAAATCATCTCAATATTCAGAAGAAGACTTAAACTATATTCGGTATAACTTCAAAAGGAAACTAATGTATATGTCTGCTGAAAGTAAATTTTGACTGACCATTCAACATGAATTGACAGACATTAAACTTATAGACCAAGTCCTGAATGCAAGATCGTGGATGCACACCGCCACTGACGAGTCCCATACTAGGACGAGACGGCTGTCCAGTGCTTACAGGTTTTCAATGGTAGTCTAGCTTAGATCGACAAATGATTTCATTTCCTGTTATTGATTTTTACTCTGCACTCACCGAATGTAGAATGGTTTGTAAATGTGTTAGATAAATTATCATCTAGTCTACATTTTGGTTCTATAATATTTGGTCATGAATCATGTATCTGCCATAATTGTGATCCCAGTTTGTGTATAACCCATTACTTATCAAGTATTCAATCTGGTAGTAACGAAATCTTGATTCCCAATTTTATTATCGAATTAGAGCAGCATATCGCAGCCGTCGTATCACATGCACCAACGAATGTCACGGTTATTAATATTTGTTAATCTGTGTTGGGGGGACCCAGAGTATTTCTCAAGAAAAGCCTAAAGGGACCCTGAAAACTCTTAGCATTCAATAGAAGTTTCTCAAAAACATCTAGAAAGTATAGAGTTACGTGTCACACTTTTGATTGGATAATTAAATATCCTGATACTATGTTTAGTAAGGTTTTGAAACTTTCCAGAAGTCCAAGGCCATCTGGAATGCTATGAATATCTTCAATTTTCTTTACACAAACTGACCTTAGAGTAAAGTATTCTTTTTACATTTCGCACCTTTTCTCTCGTGTTCAAGTTGAAGTGTAGATTTAGCCTAGGATTATTAGAAGAGCTTAGGAAACTGATTCAAGCGTTCATTCAGAAGATTTATCATTCTGAGTCGTGTTGAATGATGCAGACTACCTGATAATCGTAATCAGCGGTTGAAGACTTTAGGTGAAATGGCTTAGAATCATTCATAGTAGCACAGATGCACTCACTCTTTATACTCTGCTAGATCTTGAGTTTCAATACTTTTTCATACCTACTTTTTTACTTTCTCTTTTCAAAACATATTTCTAATGTTTATTCTTTCCTGCGTTGAACGAGAACACAAGTAGGGACAACAAAGTGTATTTATTAATATGTGAATACCATACGTTCAATACTTCATTTGCAAAATTTCCATCAATTGTCTCAAACTTTGTTGTTCCTTCATTTCCATACCAACTATTCACTGTCCTTGTTCTCTATTCTTTGATCTTCTTAACCTCCTTCCACCAGGCATTTCGCTTTCGACTGATGATACATACTACTTATATCTGTCAACAACAGTAGCACATATCACACAGACCATATGGATTTACTACTGGGGTATGCCTGGGATCAGTACAAATAAGTTTTTAAAGTGTTTTTACACTCACAGTATATCATCTCATCAGTCAGTTGTCTCTTATGAAGGCAAAACAGTCAAGCTGATTGCATGGTAAATGATTGTCGATACTAGGTTTAGGGATGACAAAAAAAAATTCTTTTGGATAAGGAGATGGATATTAAAGATGTAGTATTGTTGAACGAACACAACATCTATGTAGTAGTTGATACCATGTCAAGCTCAAAGAGCTACTGGATTGATCAATGTATTCATTCTTCTCAAGCCACATTTTGACCATTGTCACCTATTCGCTTATTAACCTTGACTGTTTTTATATGTTCGTATATATGTTAATTGCTCACCCTATTCATGACATGTCTAATTTTAATTTTCTCTGAATATAAATATTGAGTCACTTAGTATCTCCGCTGTAAGTCATTTCGTCTCCTTTTGCTTTGCTTCTGCCACTTCGTTTCTCCGTCTGGATCAATGATGGTAGAAATATACGTACTCAAAATTCCTTCTCGTACTCGACTTATTCCGTTATTCTCTAACGTGGCTCAAATCGATGATTTTATACGAGAATTTGACGGAATGTATATTTCGACAACAATTAGCATACGATTCAACTGAAACCAGAGAAATGGCTTCTAAACCTTCATAGTTTTAGTGTCATCGTCTTAATCTTAACCGATTCAACAATATAGTATAGTTTGATTGACTAAAACAAACTTTACATTAAGGAACAAACACGATTCAGAGGCTTATGAATTCTTGAAAACATGGTAGCATGACCACAGCGTACAGAAACAATGTTTGTGTCTGGTCACAGTTTCTTTAAGTAGTTTTAGAACTGTTACCCTTGTAATTCTAGTACGTTACCGTCCGCGACTGGAATCCATGTTGTATTACCCGTAAGATGTATTACTTTTAGAATCAATCGTTTATGACCTCCTTTTGATATGGGGACTGAATAATCACTTCAAATGCTGGTTGTCTAAGGTAAACAACCCCTATACCGATCTAATTGGCATGATGGAACCCCGAAAAGCCGGTGTTCCAGGTAATGTAGCTCGACTGGATCATCACGACATCCAATCCCTAGTATCATGACACATAATAATTTAAAACAAATTTGGTAAAAGAAAACAAATCAGCCTTAACAACCTACCTCCAATTACTCCACGAAATATATCAGATTTTTTCTCATCTACAGCTAAATGAATAGCATTGTAAATGAGACTATTATCATATGGATTAACTAAATCTATAAAATAGAAAAAAAGTGAATGAATAGTTTATCATTAAGTGAGAACAGATAAGTTAAAAAGTATAAAATAGATCGATTGCATAAGGATGACTCGTTGGCAGCCTTAAGAAGTCCAGAAAGAGCAGAAGACATTCCATCCAATCACCGCTAGAGGAACATTCTAGAATGTCGATGTGTAAATTCCCTATTGGATGAACAAGAATGATCCCCTATGTGCCTATCGGCTGTCCAAAATGATGATTTACTTTCAGCCAAAAACTATAAATACATGTGATTTTTGTACTATATTTGACACTGTGTTGGAAATAACATTATTCTTAATAGTCTTCTGTCTTCTTTCTTGCGACGTTGCGGGTTCGATCGTTCAAGTAGTCTAGTAGTACGCAGCATAGGAAGAATCTAAAGCTCTAGATATAACAGATTGTTTGAAATTTCCTATTAATGTTCGGAACTGAAATTATTCTATCTCTATTTGGAAATATGTACATCTTATTGTGTAAGCTAATGGCTATGTGAACTCAGTAGGGGTGTTTGAAGCGAATGATACTAGATTCGATCCCTAGAGTTAGTATCAATTCTGAGATGAAACCTGTATATAGCTGATGAGTCCCAACTAAGACGAAACATGTGTCTTCAATTCTACTACTAGACACCACCCATCTCTGTTTATAGTCTATCAGTAAGTTTTAATCAGAAGACTAGTTTCAATTTAGATCAATATTATAAATCAAAGAGTATTGAGAAGCTATTTCGTCCTAGTACGAAACTGCTTATCTACAATTCTGCGAGACTTGGAAGCGACTACGTTGTGTTCACATCAGTGACTTAACATTGTTAACTTCAGTCAATTTGTAGTATTGAGCGCTCATCACTCGAGGATATCTCTGTCTTACACTCAACATAGTTCCCTCTTTGCCTATTCTTTTATAATATTTAATAATGCACAAATACAATATACCTGATAGCTTCAAAACATAGTTGTTGAAGGTGAGAGAGTATCACCCTTAATCTTGATCTTAGTACTATGAATACATTTCTGTTGATCAAATTGTAATATAACTCTTAGTCCAAGTGACTTAACATCTCAGGAAATATACTTCAATGTTGAATGGTTGGAGGTACTTTGAATCTTTGAATCTAGCGTTTATGCTAGTTGACACTCATCAGTAAGACTTACAGTTCGAACCCGTGTCAGACAGTGTTAGATTGAAAGATGTTTGGACATTGTTCTTATCAATCAACAATAGAGATTTTCTGAAGCAGAGATGGATGATGGCTACCAGTGGAATCCAAACATGAGCTTCTTTCTATTTGTGACTCGTCAGCTTGATTTACTTTCATCCTGGAGTTGGTATTAACTCTTGGAATAGGACTCAGAAGAGTCTGCTCCAAACAACATCTCGTTATCCACTTAGCGTCCTCGATCCCACTGCTAGCCACCATCCATCTCTTTTTACAATCCTTGCAATATTGAGACAATCCATACATGATTTACATATTACAAAAACAGATGAGTAAATAACAGTCGTAAACGTCAATAAGAAGATCTAAGCAACTAAAGACTTTTGGTTCTACAGTTTGGTTAACTATTATTGATTATCAATATTATTCATTCATATACCTTGTAATGATAATCTTAATACTTCACCATCTTGTGTAACAATCATTGTTCGTCCTTTACGTTCAATATTTATAATATGATAATTTCCATCATTTGAACGCATACCGAAGTCATGTGTAATTTTACCACCGGTATCCACAACGACACGACCATCACGCTATAAAATAGAAATCAAAAATAAATAATAAATAATAAATCTCCACAAAAACCCCCCTTGTAATAATGATCATATGCTCACTAGTGACTGGCTCCTTGAGGTAATTCCTGGAGTTCTAGTGAGAAGTCGTGGCCAGTGGAGCTAATCCATGTCAGGTAGAGACAGGTATCTACCTCAGTACATTGGAAGTTGGTTGCACAATTTCATGGATTGGTTGAGGTTAGACATTAACACCGTTGGATGCCAGCTCAGTGGTCTATCGGTTAAGGGCTCCGGCTCGAGACTGGTAGGTCCTGGGTTCGAATCTCGCGAGAGCGGTTTCGTGGATGCGCACTGCTGAGGAGTCCCATAATAGGACGAAACGGCCGTCCAGTGCTTCCAGGTTTTCGATGGTGGTCTAGCCTCAATTGACTCATGATCTTAACTATAAATTTGGCGAATTGGACTGTTTAATAATAGTAATAATGATAATATGGTAAACAAAGATGGATAGTGAATAGCAGTGGAATCCAGGTCGCGCGTATCGTCCTATTTGGGACTGGTCAGCTGGATACACCTGCATCTCAGAGTTGATGTTCACTCTGGAACTCGAACTCAGTAACTTTCACTTCAAACGCCATCCCAGAGTGACACATCAACTCTAAGATGCAGGTACATCCAGCTGACGAGTCCCAAATAGGACGAAACGTGCGTCAAACTTGAATCAAATGCTAGCCACTATCCGTCTTTGCTTACCATGCTTGTGGATTAATGCAATATCGAGGCAATACGCACAGGATGCTCATATGCCGATTAGAGGACTGACCAGTTGCAGACCTAACACATCAATGGGAAGATTCAAACAAACAATACTAAGTGAATTTAATGATGATATGGTTTATAGATATTCATCCTTGCCATTGTTGATATGATGAACCACGAGTGATAACCCTCTAATGGATTAAATGCGTCCTGAGCGAATTTCTCCGAAATGGTTAGTGGTTATTAGGGAGGTGGGTTTCGTTTTGTGCAGAACTCACCAACTAGATGAGCCTTGATCCCAGTTTTAATAATTATCACATTGATGAATAAGTTCGATATTTTTCATTCCAAACAATAAGCTGTTATTTAGCAAACTAATCATTTCTGATAGATATAGACTTGTACAATGGATCCAAATCTGATTTGTAAAGTTTCGCATTTTCACACTTTCTATGTTAAGAACTACTATTGATTAGTCACTTTTCAAAGGACTGCTTCAGTATGACTAGATTCATTAGATCAGTGTCTAGCAAAATAGGATTTAAAGGGAAACGTAATAAACTTTAGTCTCAGTTCGATTATTGTTTTTACTGAGATATAGTGACATTCAACTAATAAATCCAGCGTAGCAGAACAAAACAAGGATTGATAAGGACTATAGATTGCTCTTACGAGTTTATGAGTCATTGATCCAGTCGATAAGTCACTGTTCTCTAACTGGCGGTATCATTACGTCATATATTGATTGGGCACAAGCCCACAAGTTATAACAGACATACTAATAAACTGACCAGTTACAATTATAAGATGAAAGATTTAGAAAAAAATCTGAGTTATTCAGAGTTCGATTGATACTCTTTCAGACTGAGATATTTTATAAAATCCACTGTCAATCATCTAACATTGAAACATTGAGTACCTATTATCGAGCTACAATTTCTCCTTAGATTTCAGTTAGAAACTTTACACTTATTAAAATGCTCAGCTTAATAGTTCATGTGTTCTCACACGAAACCGAAGGTCCCGAGTTCAAATCCCTGCGTGTGGGATTGTGAATGAGCACTACCACTGAGGATTCCCATACTAGAAGGTAACGGTCATCCAGTGATTCGAGGTTTTCAATGGTGGTTTAACATCAATCAATTCATGATCTCAATCAAAAACTTAATAATTTCCACAACCCTATACTAACAATATCTTTATTATGGTCATCCATAACACATCTTTTTAGCTTACTATTGGGTCAGTTACCAATTCCAATACTTCAAATATATCCTAACTACTTCAGTAGATAAGTTTCATTGTTACCAATCACTTAACATTACCATCATTGATCTCTTGGTAATTCTATAATTAATGGAAACTATTGAGAAGAAATCAATATATCAATATTTGTAACCGACGTAAGACATATTTTCCTTAAGCGTAAATCAATTTTTACCAAATATGATAATACTACCCAATGTATTCAAAACTAATAGACAGACGAAAATCTAAACTAGATCATAGGCTTAACCATATTGATTACTATTTTTATCCATGTCGATTGATTATTGATTATTGACCTAATCAGGTTTCCTGAAATACATGAAGATATTGATATATACGATTAGATAACACATTATGGAAATGATCATCTTATTCTATAAGGTATAAAGCCATTTTAATCTAACTGACTCGAGAACTTTCCGGTTGGAAGAATCTTTTTATTCTTGGTAAAGATTAAAACAATCATATAATTATTATCAGTATGATGTTTTGTGGAGATTGCAGTAATTTTAATAGTTGAATTCACGAGCCAATCTATCCTAGACCACCAATGAAAGCCTGGAAGCAATGAACGGTTCTCTCTTCCTAGTATGGGAGTCGTTGGTGGGAGTGTTCATTTATGATCGCGAACGCAGAACTCGAACCCAGGACCTTCTGGCTCATACTCGAACGATTCACACTTAGACTACTGAATCGTTATTCAGCTGTGTTAATGCATAAATTCAATCGATTCATGATCTTGTGCAGTCTTTCATTCATTGTTTAAGGTGGATGACTGTCTCCAACTGAGGTTCGAGTCCTTACCTCGTGATTGTGAATACACACTCCTACTGACTAGTCCCATATTAGGACGAGAGAACCGCTCATTGCTTCCAGGTTTTCAATGGTGGTCTAGCTTAGATTGACTTATGAATTCAACCATCAAAAAAAAAATTATATAACTTACTAATTTAATAGCCCAATATTTTCCATCTGTTGTTAAAAATGTAACTAATGTACCAGAATTCATATAAGTTTTAAAACCAAATGTAACATTATCATCAATAGTACGTATAGATGGTATTAAATTATAAATAAGATAACCATCTCTTTCATATCCAATATGAATACCATGAGCACCTATATTGTGTAATTTAAGAAGAAGAAGAAGAAGAAAACAAAAGAAGAAAATTAGTAGGCGTCGGATGAAGAACAAGGTTTCGGAGAAAGATGAAGAAGATTAAATCGAGGAATGCCTAGTTCACTATAAACTACACGAATGCTTTATATGAAGAAAGCGGTTTATGTGGAGAGGTTTGATCCACAAGTTATTAAAGGAACAAGAAGAGATTCAGTCTTATTGTAGTGAGTGATCAAAATGGGTTCGAACCCAAAGGCCGTGGTAAGGCTGATGATGTAATGTGTCCTTTCTCCTTCTACAAATCCCAGATCCATTTTGATTCATTTATTACCCATTTTGTTAAACATATCATGTCGTACTTATGTGATCTGACAACTCTATATTGATCATAATTGATAGTACCATATTCAGTTTCATTTAAAGTTTGTAAATGGATGTTTATCAGAAACCAGATCTTTATTACGAACGTTAAGACAGTCCTACTGTACGGAGATGAAACGTGAAGAACTACCACAACCATCACCAAAAAAGCACACGTATTTACAAATAAATGTCTACGCAAGGTACTCAATGTTTATTAGACTAATATACCATCAACAACAGCCTACTGTTGGAGAGAACAAACCAACTTCCAGATGAAGCTGAAATTAGGAAAAACACGTTGTAAGTGGATAGGACACACATTGAGGAAATCATCAAACTGCATCACTAGACAAGCACTAACTTGGAATCATGAAGGTAAACGGAAAAGAGGAAGGCCAAAGAACATAATGCGTTGGAAATTGTAAGAAGACATGAAAAGGATGAATAGCAACTGGAAACAACTGGAATGGTTTACCTAGTACAGAGTTAGATGGGGAATGCTAATTGGCGGTGTATGCTCCTCCACGAAAGGTAATAGCAACTAACTAAGTTGTCAAAAAGTTTTCATAAAGCATATCATAACAGAGTCTAAAGTTATATATCCTAAGTGTTTCGTACATCAAATCAAGATAAGTATGGTAAGTACCATAACTAGCATTAAAAAGATACATAGGTATTAATAAACAGTTGTCTACGTAAAATAATCCATATCCATTGGATGTTTATAATCAACAACAACATACTGGGATAGAGAACAAACCATCTTCCCGTTGAAGAAGAGATTAAGAAAATATGCTAAAGGTGGTTAGGATATACACTGGGGAAATCATCAAACTGCATTACATGCCAAGTCCTAGCGGGAACTCCCCAAAATAAAGGAAAAGATGTTGACCCAAGAACATATTGCATCGGTAATTGGAGGCAGATATCTAAATAATGAATGGTACTTGAAAACAACTGGAAAGAAGTGCCCAGGACAGAGTAGTTTTGAGGATCCTGATCAGTGCCCTATGCTACACGATGGCTAACAAACATAAGTAAAACAACTATTTCAGTATAATCACTTACTGGAATCACATTGCGGTCCAGTTCTTGCTGTCATTGAACAATCACATCGATAAACATTTCCAGGTAGAACTGAACAAACACCACCATTATTACAATAATTTGGTGGACATGTTATAGGCTCTGTACATGTTCGTCCGCGATATCCTGTCCCAGTACAATCACATACATAACTACCACTTTTCACTGAACAAACACCATTATTTTGACAATAACCAATTGGACATGTTTCAGGTATTTCGCATTGTGTACCTTTATAATCGGTGCCTAAACAATCACACTTTGGTATACCCCTATTCATGGTACATCGTCCACCATGTAAACAATAATCTGGTGGGCATAATTTTCGCATTTCACATTGTTCCCCTTCAAAATTCACTGGACACGTACAATGTGGTCGATTATCTGCACCAGGATAACATGTACCACCATTCATACAATAATTAGATGGACATACATCAATTTCACATCGTGGTCCTCTATAGCCTGGATAACAATCACATGTAGGATTTCTTTGACGTACAACACAAATGCCATGTCCAGTACAATAATTTGGCGGACATAATGGTATATTACATGTAGGACCAGCATAATTAGTTCTGGAACAGTCACATGTTGGACGATCATCAGGACCTACTTTACATTCACCATAATTTTCACAATAATTAACAGGACATATACGAGTTTCACAACGTGGTCCAGTGTAACCAGTTCCACGACAATTACATACTGGTTGTTGTGTACGTGGATCTACCGTACATACACCTCCATAGCCACAATAACCTGGAGTACAAATTGATTCAAGACATCTTGGTCCAGTGAAACCAGTCCCTTTACAATCACAAGCAGCAACTGAACCCATCATATAACACCTTCCATTATTATGACAATATGTTCCACTACTGCATGGACTAATTTCACACATTGTTCCAGTATAACCTGTACTAGAACAATCACATACTGGTTGACCATTAACTATTTTACATCGTCCATTATTTTTACAGTAACCTGGTGGACATTCAGTTATTGGATTTGCACATCTAGGTCCTTCATGACCAGTTCCAGTGCATATACATTGAACTTCACTATCAGATATTTGTCGACATGTTCCACCATGATGACAATAAGATGGTGTGCAACGTTTTAAATCTGTAAATAAAGATAACAAAAACAGAAAACAATTAATAGTCATAAACTTTTATCATTGATTCGATGATATTCATCTGTCATTGGATGACCAATGCCCAATTAAGAGTTTTCTAGCTGGATTTGGAGAAGATATCACTGGAAATATCATCCATTTAGTGTATTTTTAAAAAAAATGTCCTTTTATGGTTCTACATTTTATAACGTCGAAAGTATACTACTTATAAGTAGCTTAAATTTTTGTAAGTAAACTTTGTGACCTTTCGTATACATCCAAATGTAATCGTACAAATGTGTAATCGATTACTTGATTTCATCAATCTATTAGTACTCAAATTGATCACTGACGTCATTGTAACCAACAGATAGCCTTATGACTCTTCTTTTTATTTCTACAGCGTTGGATTCCTTCCCTAATCATTAAGATTAAACTGATTAGAGATATAGACAGTGTTTATGAGAATGAATTATAAAATGTAGATTTATTCAAAAGATAAACTTCAGAATGACTCCAGAGGTTCACTTTGTAAGAATTCCCTTATTTTTCAACTATAGAATGTAAAGTGTGTATTCCAATGTTGGTCAATTCAATTAAGAAGAAAACTAGTACTTTATAAGGAATTAGATGGTAATCCTGAAGAGTTTCAAAAGTAGATTTATATTTTTGTTATAGATAATGTATTTATTTGTGTAGTCCTTGATTATTGATTCATTTAAGTTGATTTACATTATCTAAAGCTCCACCATTTGTCTAATGTAACTATATTAGAGTATACTTTGTTCTATTGAAGTGTCTAACCGCATAGCTGAGATACTCTTGAAGTTCAAGTCCTAAACAAATACTCATTTAAAGATTGAAGTGAAGTTTTGTTCTCTGAGCTGGACACTTATACCGTGGAGCTTTCATTGTTCTTCTGAACAACATTATCAGCCTAAACTTCAGGTAGAAGTGAAGTATTTGAATTTTACTACATATGACTTTTAGCTTGTCTAGTAAACTTAAATTTTGATTAATTATCATTGACCATTTGATCTTATCTAAAGAACTGTCCTATGATCATAAAATATGTGTAAGCTAGTTACAAATCTCAAGTCATGCGGTATCTGTGTAACTCAACGTGTTTGGAAGAAAAAAGGCTTGAATAGCGTAGATGATCTTAGGTAATTGTGTTTAATGTGTTTATTAGTTACCAAAAAATCAGATGTAAACTAAGAGCATACAACATAGATTTTCTTAGTAATTTAGTAGTATAATGCAGTTATTAGTAAAATTCTACTGTTCAACATTGGCTGTTAGATCTTCCAATTCGATTGTCAAATGACCTATGTGATCAAAATACTTTTTGATATAACGAATATTAACAACATTACAAAATGAGATGGATGGTGGCTAACAGGGAAATCCAAGATGTGCGTTTTGTCTCATTTGGGACTCGTCAGCTGAATGCGCTTACATCTCAGAGATACTATCTATTTTTACTTATAATGCTTATGAATAAAGTAATATCAAGGAAATCCACACAAGATTCACATATGCCAATAAGAAACTGATCAATTTTAGTCCTAAACATCAATGGGAAGATTCATTAACATTTGAACGGTCTGTTTAATCAGTACATGAAATTCATTTGACAACATTTCATAATGCATCAATCTTGTTCAAAAAAATCTCATTTTATGTCTATAAACTTGTATTATTCTCAGTTTTATTGTTTAGAACATACTCAGAATTCATCAAAAGTTAGGCTGTTCTGTTATCTTATGGAATCGAATCCGTCAGGGAGTACCAGTTCCCTTAAAATTACAAGTACACCTTGCTAACGAGTGCCAAGTACCACGAAACCCTGGTCCAGGGTTTCCTATTGACCACCTCCATTCATCATCTTAATCAATCTCGTATTAGTATATGTGCATCCTGTGTAAATTGCCTCGATATTGCCAATAAGTAACAAAGAGAGATAGATGGTAGCTATCAGTAGAATCCTTTTAACGATTATCAAGTAGAATGAAATGCACGTCCTGGATACAGTCTAATTTATTATATAAATTAGTAGGTCACTAGAAATAGGTTACTAAAATCGAATTCATTAAAGATAGTGAACATATTAATACAGTACAACTGATCTCCTATTTAGTTTATCTAACAGTTCATAGTCATTCAATTCATATATTCATTAAACAAACTGTATAAAAGTATCCTAAAGTGACAAAACATCATGATCATCATCAGTAACAATTATTATCCTCCGGGAGATACTATCGATCTCTAGCCCCGGAAAATGGAGGACGGTTGGATATGGGGATTAGCGACCCCTCATAATAGGTTTAAGTAAGTAATTAACTTACATTGACCATTGAAACATTGAAATCATTATACATTAAAATATGATACTACTTATATATATATATAATGAATTTATTCAACTTACCCATACAATAACCACGTATTAATTCATTAGCTGGATATGCAGTTAAATAACTATCATATAATTTTAATAAATTATCAGTGAAATTATTAACTCTTATATTAAATGATCCAATACAACCAGTTAATGATGGTTGTTGTCCATCTTTAGCTTCACTACGTTCTAATGATTGTATAGAATAACGACGTAATAAATTAAGTAATATTAACCATTCATGTTCTGGTATACCACCAAAGAATATATCAAATTGTGATAATAAATCAACACGTAGATTTTTACCAATTAGATACTGTTTTGATTTGGGGTTATTTACAGAAAACAAAAAAAGAAAGAAAATCATTTGATTAAACAAGATTATAATCAGAATGAGGTTAAATTACAGTGAAAAATATGGAAACATTAGACGGTTATTTCATTCTATCAAGGAACTCCTCAGTGGTAGTGTGTATCTACAATCTTTGACTGAGAATCCGAAAGTAGAACTGTCGAACTTGAGCGCGAACGCTTAACTTCTAGACCATTCAATGGGGTTTGGATGTAGTGTACGAGATCATGGATGAACAATGCTGAGGTGTCTCATTCTGGGATGGAAGGGATGTTCAGTATCTCCAAGTATACCATGGTGGTCTAGCTTACATCGACTAATGAGTTCAACTATAGAAACAAAATTAATTGAAAAACGTTTAGTTTCTTTTTTCAGTATTAGGGGTTTGTGGAGATTGTTGAATTTTACTACTTACATCAACAACTGACATCAGTTAAAAAATCATGAAAAACCAAGAAACATTAGATAGTTATTTCATCCTGGAATAGAACTTTTCAGCAATGCCCACTGAGGATCAAATCTAGGATTCTCAGATCATATTATGATCAATTTGTGATGTTAGGCATTACATTAGACGATCTTCATAAATATCCCGTACTAATAATTGTCATAGCATGAGAAGATGTAACGAATGGAGTTCAGTTATCTTTGATGTGAGGCAACATCTCACCGAAGACATTAGAAAATGGTTGCCCAATATCCTGAACTGAATAAAGTAAAATACGCAAGACAATTGATGTCGTCTCAGCTGTCCAAAAGTGAAAAGCGTTCGCCGAGAGACCTAAATGTTTCATTTCGATCCTTGGTAGGATCGTGGATATATTGATGAGCATCCTAGACTTCGCACGCACGATTCCGCCCCGTAAATGCGCACTAACACTGACGAGTCCCATACTAGGATGAAACGGCCGTCCGATTATTATTATTATTTATGGTGGACCATCTTTAGACTATTTGTCAGTTATGAAAAAGTTTCATTCATCAACGAAACTGAGTTCGTCATATCATTTATGGATATTGGGTGAAATCAATGTGAATTAATCATGAATTCAATCATTACTCATGTCGTTCTATTTATGAACCACTGATGTATCTGAAAATGGGAAACACCATATAACTTGTGCTGTTTAGTTTGAACTTATCCAAATCTCTTCATGAAACACCCTATACATTGGAAACATATCACAAGATTTTATTTCTCGGTCAAAAGTATGAAACTAATTCACCTTCGTTTAGTGAAGTTTCATCCTCTGAGGTGAATGGTTTAATGATGGAGCTTTCATCATTCTTTTGAACAACACTATCAACAGAAACTTTAGGTAGAAGTAGGCTACAAATCTTGTTCGCTAATTACTTTATCTGTATGTGAAGTGTTTTATTCACTTTTCTCAGCTCTCTATGTAAACCATACAATTCATGGTTCGAAGTACAATTGAAACGCATTATCTTTCAGACAATGGAAAACTATTCCTTCATATATCAAATAAAATTTGTCTTAATGAATTTAGCTACTTATGAGTAGTTTGACTCATCCTTTAAATTTTCATCGAAAGATTTAACCTACCTCATTTGAATAACCATCAAGATAGGCTAAAATTTCTTTATTATATTTTCGTAGAGTAATTGCAAGACGATGCCAATTACCATCAGCAACATTATCAGCACCTGGACCAGAGGTAATTTGATAAACACCTTGTTGATCATGAATTGAATAGATAATATGTATACGACCACTAAGAATCATAGCTGTTATGTGTATTCCACTAGGATTATTGATATCACGAGCCTGTAAGACAAAGAACAAAACAATAGTAATATAAAATCCAAATGAACGGAGAGGAACAACTTATTAACTGCTACAGAAAACATAAAATCTGACGAGAAGGATCGTGGATGCTCATTGTCACTGAGAAGTTCCATAGTAGGACGACACGGCCGTCCAGTGTGTTTCCAGGTTTTACATGATGGTCTAACATCATTTGATTGATGAATTCAACTATTATATTCTTAATTTGTTAGAACTAAAAGTCTTCTTACAGAATTTAGGAATTTCATCTATTTACAAACTATCTCACTAAAATCTGATAACCATACAGCATACAGTTAATTTGCAAGATAACAATCAATTGTCCCATTCCTTATGCAAATATGAGTCCATCTTCTCTGATTTCATTGTTCATGCATTTACATACCGATTGCGCTTCGTTCCGATTCTTTCCTTATTGATCTTCTGCCAAAATACAACCTAAGCCTGATCATCACCATATACTAATTATGTGGATATAAGTAGACTACACCACACCATGAATATGATATCATTTAAGGGATCATGGAAATACACTGTGGATAGAATAGCTGTTCAAATCCTATTTGAAACTCTATGAAACAGTTTATACTCGAAAACACAAATAACGGATCGAGAACAACACATAAATATGCCCTGGTTGTTTACGATAACTTTAACACAGTTTTGTAACATAGTCATTCCTATCTACACTTTCAATCGCTTCAAATGATAACATGACCATAATCAAAATCTGATTTTAAAAAAAACAATTCTCTTTTACATAATTCAAGAAATTTTATAAAATAATCTCCAACAGTATTCTCCATCCAACCATGTCCTAGGCAATCCTTCCCCGTTGTTATTTATACTTTTCATATCTGCTTCTATTTCCCGGCGTAATGTGTTCTTTGGTCTTCCTCTTCTCCGCTTCCCTTACGGATTCCATGTTAGTGCTTGCCAAGTGATGCACATTGGTGATTCCCTTAATGTATGTCCTATCCACTTCCACTTCAGCTGGAAGCTGATTTGTACTCTCCCATAAAACGCTGTTGATGATGGTATCCGGCTAATGAATGTTGAGTATTTTACGTAGACAACTGTTAATAAATACTTGTACCTTCTTGACAATGGATGTAGTAGTTCTCCACGTTTCAGCTGCGTTCAGTAGGATTGTCCTGACGTTTGTATTGAAGATTGTCACTTTGAAGTTAGTTGACAGTTGTTTTGAGTTCCAAATGTTCTCCAATTGTAGAAATACTGCCCTCGCTTTGCCGATTCTGGCCTTTACATCTGCATCAGATCCTCCTTGGTTATCAATGATGCTTCCCAGGTACGTGAATGTTTCCACTTCTTCCAGAGTTTCTCTATCAAGCGTGACTGGGTTAATGTTCTCCGTGTTGTATTTGAGAATTTTACTTTTTCCTTTGTGTATATTGAGGACTATTAATGCAGAGGTTGCTGCTACACTAGTTGTGTTCATCTGTATTTATTCCGAACACGTCATCTGCGAAGTTCAAATCTTCTAATTAATTCCTAGCTGTCGATTGTATTCCGTGCTTTCCTTCAGATGTCAATGTCTTTATAATCCAGTCAATCACCATAAGTAAGAGGAAGGGGGAGATAGTAACCAACCTTCTCTAACTCTGCTCCTCACTTTAAATGAAGTTAATGTATAATGACAAGTTCCCCTCAACTAAGTGTTCAACGATCATCTGTAATGTCACTATTTTGGTCTATATCATTCTACCATTCACAAAAAATCTAACCATAAACAATGATAGATTTAAGGTCAATAAGAACTAATCAACATCGAGGTGCACAGGACAAGCTGTGAATTACATGTGGAGAAACTCAAATAATTCACTTCTACCTGAAGTTTGTGCTGATGATGTCGTTCGGAAGAACGATGAAAGCTCCACTACCAAATCATACAACTCAGAGAACAAACCAACATCAAAAAACTAACCATAATACAATCATTCTTATTTTAACAAAAAAAAAACATTAAAAATAGATTTACCCTGAACAATATTCCATCATAATTTGTTTTAAATTCAATTAACCATGTATCTCCACCATTTTTCATTGTTATAGGTTTATTCATATGAGCATAGATTAGACCAGATTTACATGTAATTGCATATGTTTGTTGTCTTGGCCATATAGGAAATTTATGTCTTATAGATGGTGGATTTAATAAATGTGTAGTATATTTTGTTGGAAATAATTTTGTACCAATTAAATCATATTGATTCCAATAAAAATTTCTAAATTCACCAATAAATCTTGGTCCCGGTGGTAACATAATTTTCTTTGTATCAATATCTTGATAATAACCAAAATTTGGTGGACCAGCACTTCCTAAATAAATTTGTTGAGCTATTAATTGAAATGTATCATGAGGATCAAGTAAAGGAATTTTCCCTGTTTAATGAAAAAGAGGTAAAAATGGAAAAGTTAATATCGTACTTGAACTTATTTGAACGATCAAATAACCAATGACAAACACATTGGCTAATTTTTTGTAAAAAACTTCAACTACTTATTTTTGTTTATCAGTAGTTAAAATCTGCATTGCAAAACTACATGGCTTGTTTGCTGAACACTTTATAGTAAAATGAAATATCATGTATCTTATACGACAAGATAAGGAATTTTTTAGTATGCGAAAAACTACAAATGATTTGATGAAACCTAATAACAAACCTAAGATTGCATGGTAAGTGATATGTAAGTGTAGATGAGCTATAATAAATAAGTGAAACACTCCTTTTTACATATCACGATCTATTTATTGTGAGTTTAAATTCAACTTAGTATTGTTTGTTTGAATCTTCCCATTGATGTTAAGAACTGCAACTGGTCGGTCTCTTATTGGCATATGTACACACTGTGCGTATTGTCTGTATATTGCCTTAATTTACAAGCATTATAAGCAGAGATGGATAGTGGCTAGCAGTGGAATCAAGTTTGACGAGCGATTCGACCTATTTGGGACTCGTCAGTTGGATGTACCTGCATCTCAGAGTTGATGTTCACTCTGGTACTCGAACCCAGTATCTTTCACTTCAAACCCCATCGTCTTATCCACTTGGCCACTGAGTCCTGATAGCCACTTGCTTGTGCAATGGGGTGAAGTTCAAATTCAACTTAGTATTAAACTCTATCCTTTGTCATTACAAAGGTCACACATTTTTCGTCATTAACAATGCATACATACACACAAAATTACATACATATCCCTTATGAATCACTTTGAACGAAATGAAATGACGTGACATTGATTTATTCAGACCGGTTTTTGATTGATCACCTAATATTCTTTGATTGTTCCGTTGTACTATTTAAACTTGGATTAATATTAATTTGGTTATTTATTCTCTGAAGAAGTGGCTTACACTGAGTCACGAAACGTCAGAAAATCTAATTTTTCTACTCATTGGGATATTACAAATATATAATTTATTTATAACAATCTACCCAATGCTCAATTTATTCAAAATTATCAAATCAAGTCTTGGTAATGACACCTACTATCAACTTAGTATTGTTTTTTTTTTAATCGTCCCATTGATGTTTAGAACTGCAACTGGTCAGTCTGAGATGCAGGTATATCCAACTGACGAGTCCCAGATAGGACAAAACCCTCGTCCTGGATTCCACCGCTAGCCACTATCCATCTTTGCTTGTAGTGAGTTGTTAACACAATAATGAGACTTTCAGAAATGAAGTTTCCCAAATAGTTTTAATCTTCTTGCGCGGAATAGTTGGGTTTATCTTGCTTAAAATTGTACATAATTGACTAGACTAGATGACTAAATAATACAATACATATTGATGTGCTGAGGATCACACCATATGACCACATCACACAAATAACTACTTAATCATACACCAACTTATATAAACATAGATACACAAAACATGTTTCCGCAGTACAAGCTGACTTGTGTTGGTTGTGCGTAACATCTGACCTAGTTTACGGAATAATATAGTGAGGGACTCCTTGATAATCTTCAAAAGGTCTACAATTGAACTTTCTTTTTTATCATGTTCAGACAGGCTCATACTTTTTGGTCTTAGACATAGTTTACTCATTGATCGATGTTAATAATATCCAGTTACTACAATGACATTGTGGGTTTTGGACAATGAATTGAGAGTATTATTACGAAACGATTAAAGTTAGGTCTGTAAATCACTGGATGTGGTCTCAACTGTTTAAAGCCTATGCGTTCGCCATTAGACGTGATGATCCTCAGTTGGGTTCTTCATGTGAATGTTAATGTGTACTAATAAAAAGTCCCATAATAGAACGAAACAACTAACCAATGCTTCCTACTTTTAGTGTTTCCCTATCTAAGATCTATAAACACTTTGTAGTAATTTGTCATGTCCTTTCTAGTGACCGACTTCAAGAGGTAATTCTGAAGTTCTCATTAGAAGTCGTGACCACCCAACCATACCCATATTGAGTGTCAGGCAGTTGTTATCCAATGAATATAGTGGAAGATGGTTGTGAGATATCACTGATTAACTGAAGTTAACCATGTCGACCATTCATACACGAGACTGGCCCAGAGTTCGATCCTTAATGGTGAGATCGTGGAAGGGCACTGTTGAGTGGTCTTATACAAAGGCGAAACACATATCCATTGATTCTTGTCTATCTAAGATCAATTCATAATGCAAACTACAATCTACATATGTGATAGATAGTGACTAACAGTGGAATACAGGACGCCCATTTTGTTTAGAGTGAACATCAACTGTGATATGTAGGTACATCTATCCGATGAGTCCCGAATAGGACGAAACACGTGTCCTGGATTCCACTGCTGGCCACGATCTATCTTTGTTTAGAACCCTTGTGAGCTAAGGCAATATCAAGACAATACATACAGTATGCAAAAATGAAAATAAGAGACTGACCAGTTGCAGTCCTAAAAATTAATGGAAGGATTTAAGTATACCATACCAAGTGAATTTGTGTTTATTTATTTTTAAAAAAAAATAACATTCTTATAAACATCATGTAGGAAAAAGGGTAAGGGTCATGGTAAACAACTCAGATTCAATTAAACTAGCAATATCCACATGACTATAGTTTCATATTGTAGTTAAGTCAAATAACTGTACTACGAAGTATCGAATAGATCTCTTGAATTTCGTACGTTAACAAAGAAACTGTTCAGATCTTGAATATCATGAGTGTACAACAAATTAATGAACAGACTAAATAATCATTATATACTGTTGTTTCATTAACTTGATATCAATGAAATGGTGGATGTAAGTCTCATGATGTAGGTTTGTTCTCTGGGCTGGATGGTTCGGTTGTGAAGCTTTCATCGTCCTTCTGAACGACATCATCAGCACAAACTTCGGGTAGTAAGTCTCTTTGATACTACTGTAGTGAAAGAGATTGTAAGTGGGAAGAATAATACTTCATTTGCAAAATATCAATCAATCATCTGGGAATTCATTATTCCTGCATTTCCACACCAATCATTGCCTGTTCTTGTTCTCTTATATTTAATATTTTTAATCTTTTATCTCTAGACATTTCACTTTCAATTGATGATATATACTACTTATAACTGTTGACATCAGTAGCATACACCATACTACTTAGCAAATTTAAAGATGTTCTACTTTAGATTTATCCTTTGATATTCTTTTACAAAATTCAGTTATGTATTCTATCAAATCCATGCCTGAAATCTATTGGCTATTATAGAAGCTTAATTTATCAAATTAGAGTTCTGTATGGACAAGAATCATTCCATTCTGGATAACCCTACACTTTTAGTCCAATTTAAATTCTAGTTAATAATTTAAAAGAAAAAAAAAGTTATTTCAAGTTATAGCATTAGGAAAGAAAAAACTGTTTTAAAAATTAAGAAAATAAAGCAGGTTGGTTTAGCTGTTAAGGATAAACAACTCAAACTATCAGTAGTAACCAAACAACCGCCACAGAGAAACACACACACACACACACAAGTAGATGATCCCAAATAACTTTGTATTTACACATTAAGTAAAACGGTATATTCTTGTGTTAATTAGACTGGAAACAAACTAGGAAACTATAAAAAATGATATCAAAGCAATATACTGAGTTTCTTATTCTAAAAGGAAATTAAAATAACTAATTCAATGAAGGAACAAAGGAAATCAACAAAAACAAATATCATTATCAGAAAGGAGTTTTGTAAAGATTTTAGTAATTTTATATAGGTCCTAAGTTCGAATCTCACGAGGTGGGATCGTGAATACGCACTGTCACTGAGGAGTCCCACAATAGGACGAAACGGTTGTCTAGTGCTTCCAAATTTTCAATGGTAATCTAGCTTCAATCGATTCATGAGCTCAACTATATAAAAAAATGATATCACTGTTTATAGTTAGCTTTGGCAGTATTCTATCCACCAAACAACTGGAATGATGAAGTGTGAGGCATATATATATTTGATACCTTCTTGTACCAATGTTCATGTGTTTAGATTACAATTAGCTTGTCCATCATCATTTGCTCTATACTGATTATAGTCTAAGTTTTGCATGTTTACACAAACAAAATGAAACATTTCAAACAGACTTAAAAGTTCCAGCGTCTTTGTATATTTGGAATGTTCCAGTGTAACTAGTTACATTGAATGCGTGATTGAAAATTTTAATAGTCGAATTCATGAGTTGATCTAAGCTAGACCACCATTGAAAACCTAGAAGAATTCAACAGGCATTTCATCCCGGTATGGGACTCCTCAGTACTGCACATTCACGATCTCGCTTCCAGGATTCGAAACCAGGACTTATGAATTCAACTATTACATTATTTCAATCTCCAATAAACCCCTTTCTGATAATAATCAACATTTGGTTACTAGTGACTGGCTTCAAGAGGTATTTCCTAGATTTCTAGTGAGAAGCCGTGATCAGTCTGCTATGAGGTAGTAACTCACTGAAAATAATGGTGTACGGTGACGCAGTTTCGTGAAATAGTTAAAGTTAGATACTAACACCGTTGGTTAAAAGCTCAGCGATCTAGAAGTTAAGCGCTTGCACACGAGGACGAATGTCCTAGGTTCAAATCTCATGTGTGGGATCGTGGACGTGCACTACTGAGGAGTCCCATACCAGGACGAAACGACCATCGAATGCTTCCAGGTTTTCCATGGTGGTCTAGCTTTAAATGACTCATACATTCTACTACTAAATTACATTATTACTTTCTTAATATCATCATTGATACAGAATTCAACTTAAGATCATACATACATATGCATATACACATACTACTCTTATGATTACTCTGATCATAAGTTAAATAAGCAGTTCTACAGCAAAATCAAATTAGCGCCAAAACCAAAACCATTTCAACATTCAAACAAACAATCAGTATCAGTATCCCCCAATTAATT